TTTTCCTTTGGTGTCTTATTATACAGGTGTTGAAGTGATTATTATTGTTCTTCCAAAATCAAATTTCATTGCTTATAATTTCTCATGCAAGGCCATAACTCACAGCCTTTCCTCAATACACAACACAATAAGACAATGCCCATGTTCCAAGGGAAAATGAAAAAAGGCACTTTACATTTGAGCTGACAGAATTCTCTTGAGAAATCAAACTTTTGCACCATGTCTAATCTTCATCTTATTCCTGTGAAACAGATGGAATTTATAATTGACTTCATCTTTAGAGATGACTTAAGGTTGAAAAAGGTAAATTATTTTCTCAAAGTTCCCTAGCAAATCATTGCCAAAACTTTGATCAGAAGAATTAGACATTTCTGTATCCTTGGTTACTTGACTTCAGAAATAAAGTGTATTAAAACAATGGTATTAGCTCTACTCACCCTTTAACTCTGCACTTAAACATATGTATCTTAATAGTAATAAGAAACATAAAAATGTAACATGTTTAATTCTATGATGGGCAGAGGATTTATATTTTATTATGCTTACTCTAACACACTGAGCACAATAATGTGAATGAATTTAAATTAGCTATGAACAGATTTAACAAAAATGTGTTTAGAAACAAGAGATTGAGCCTAGAATAGAAATTGAGATTCAACTTTGGGTGTGGCAAGAACCACTCAGACAATTTTTTAAACATGTAGGTTCCTAGAACATACTCAGATTTAATAAATTAGATTCTTTTGGTTATTCTTTCTAAAGATTTATAGATTTTTTTTTCCATTCTTGTGATGCTTTACTAAGAAGAGTGTGTTTCAACTGCATCCAGGATATTACAAAAGATGTGAGGTCACCACTTTTTTTTTTTTTTTAAGATTTATAGCTTTTAAGAACATTCCCCATGGTCCTAATACCGATGTTTGGGAAACGCTCATCTACATTATTCTTCTGGGACTTCAATCAGGTTCCATTAGCTTAAAGCAATAGTTCTAACTAGTAAAATAGATAACATTAACTGTCCTACAGTTGTGTGTGTGAGTGTCCTGTCTCCCTACTAAAAAGTAAATTGGTGGAAATGGGTGAATATTCCTTTAGTCCAAGTTTAATACTTCTATTAGGGATGGATGGCTCTCAATTGCTACGTACTGGTCTTACTTTGCAAATATCTTTTTTTTCCCTTCAGAACTCAGCTCTTGAATCTTAAATCTTTGTAAAGTGCACACATTCTCTTCAGGGGAACAGACCAGATTCTGAATACTCAACCACCTGCAGGAGCTGAGTAATGAGGAAGGAGGAGAAAAGGAGGAGACCGCATTTTGTTCTTTGTCAAATGGTTTTTGGCTCCCGTATCTGATGGTAGAGGGGGAGGTCCCCAAGACAAGTTAAATCTGGGGGAGTTCCTTCTCTGCAGTGCGAACAATGCTCTGAAAGGGCAGAGCTGGGGTTCATGAAGCCTGTGCTGTTGTCTTACACTCCAGGGGAGGGGACGCGTGTAAGGAGAGGTTGACATATAGTAACGGACTTAAATGTCAAGTCCATCCCTCTGTCTGATGGACGCCCTGCAACCCCTCATTAACACCTCCTGTGCTCTAACACCTCCTGGGCTCTAACACCTCCTGTGCTCTAAACACGGGTTGAGGGTGAAGGAGTGAAGGGAAATGGGCTGGTGCGTGGCTATTTTCACGTCATCAGCATAGGAATTAATGATCCTCAAACTGGCAGAGCTTAATTTTGGGAATCCTGGACTGGGATAAAGGCAGAGATATTTGAAAAACAACAGCCAAACCGAAAACAATAACAACAACAAAAAAACCATTGTACTTTGGCTTTTCCTCCAGAAAAGGCCAATTCCACTCACAAAGCAGAGGCTCGTTTACTCACAGTCCTGGACTGTTGGGTGGTTAACGGTATTGATAGTGGGGTCCCCGTGCTCACAAATAAAAATTCCTTTAAAAGCCAAAATACGAAATAATTGGAGCTTTTTCATTAAACAGAAAGATGACTAATCCCAATGGATCTCTCATTTTCTATTTGATTTTTAAATGTGTCTTAAAGTTATATGTTTTCTAGTGGGCCTACAGAAAAAAATATCAAAAATTTTCTTTAAAAATAACACGTACAGCTAGAATGGCTTTTACCCTAGTCCCTCGTCCAAAAGAAAAAAGAAAGAAAATCATCTATAAGAGAAATAGCTCATAAGTGGTCCTCTTCATTCATGATTCAATAAAGAAAATGTGTTTAGACTATTTTTATACATAAATCCCAGGCTAGGTTCCATGAAAGAACACGATTTTACACTAAAGTGCTCCTGAAGACTGCCACACAATGTCATTCATTGCCAAAGAACTTGAGGAATCTTATCTGGTCCAAATTCTTCTGCAAAGTAGGAAAAGGAACCTGTTAGAATTCGTCAGAAAAGTGACGTATTCTTACTTCTTTCTTGCTTAACTTGAACATGGCATGCCACTAACTGTTTTATTTTATCATCTACCAGTATGTATTTTCCTGATCCTATCGTGTATACCAGCCTCAATTTTGCATGGTTCAAAACCAGCTTACTATTCAAGCTGCATCGTGGTATAACACTTCTACTTTGCTGTCACTGAAGTTTTGAGTATTTACATATTCCTAGGCGCACCTGAGATGGATCGGTGATACAGCGTAGAGGTTAGGGGCACAGGAATTAACAAGATGCTTCCTAGATGGCAGTCCCAGTCTGTCTTTATGTAGGGCTGAGACCTTGAATGGGCTTACTTAACTATTTTAGTCTCCTCATCTATGAAATGAGGATAACAACACAAGGCAGTTGTGATATTTAACAAAAATGCATCACACACAACCTGCCTAGAAAATGGTAAATTGATACATGAACTGTAGGTAGCAGTAGCAAGACTATCAATAGTAATAATAGTAGAGGTGGCAAGAATAGGTGGATGATTGCAGCAGGGAGGAAGAAGGTCTCACTACACAGTAGAATCATGACTCACTAAAGTCAAGTGCAACCTCTAAAAGTCATGTAATGTTATAAAATATAACCGGATAGAGACTCGCTGGTAATTGTTTACATGTTTTGGATTATAATGACATCAAAGCACATAAGAGGCAGAGAACCAACCAAATTCCCATCTATCAGGTGAGTTACAAAAACATAAAAGTGTCTATTAATCTGCAAGAACTTTTATTTCTAAGGGGCAGGTAAATTCCACATTAAAAAGAAGGAAAGCACTCAGGAGACATTTATCCCAAATCATTCACCAGGGTCCTGTTATGCTGCCCTAGGTTCCACCCCAGCCCCTCTCAGCCCTCAGCCTGTCTCACCAGTGTTCAGCGGGTTTGAGTGCTTGATTGATTATTCAAGTCAGAAAGCCGTGGCGTGCCTTCTGCTCTGTCACTTATGACTGGTATGATTTGAGATCAATTGCTTAATGTCTCTGTGCTTCATTTTCCACATTTGTAAATGAAAATGATACTAAAAACTACTTCATGGAAATGGAATGAAATACAAGAGACAATAATTGAGATGTGCTCGGAATAGCACCTGTACAGAATCAGTGTTTATGAGACTGTTAGCTGCCATTGTTCAAAAACGTAAACTCGTTCTCCAAGACAAAAAGCAACGACATTCATTCACAGGGAATTAAAAGGGTTTTGGCCTAAAACCAATTAAGTTCTTGTTTTCATCTTTGGAAGTGATTCTCATCATAGTCTATACTTGGAGTACATCACAGATAAGTTTGGGCATTTGTCTGCACTCTGCGCATTCAGAGTGAGCTCACCACAAATAAGAGAGTGGCAAATTTAAGACGCGATAGTTTCTGTGGGAGAGATGCATGCAATGACAAGGTGACAGGGGTTTACTTTTATTTGAAGAAAGTCAGAAAGATTATCACAGGAGTGTTGACTCCTGAATTAATTCTTTAATAGGACTGAAAGGTGTTTTTCAGACCGATGAGTCTAGTGGATGAAAACCGGAGTTAGGGCTGAACCCCATGTGGCCTGTAAGAGTGAAAATTCTGCAGGAATAGGGAGAGCTGTGCAGCTAAAGGCACCAGGCAAGGGCAGCAGCCCGAGGGAGACCAGGACTTGTGAATGTGATGTGACTACACGGCATCCAGGGCTTTGAGCTGAGTGTCGACTGACACGAATGCTGGGTGGTAAATGTGATTGTCATAGTCATAGCACTCTGCTGTGCAGCGGGCACTGTGGGCATGGCTTGTCTGGCCACACCTCACAAGACACGTTGGAGACAGACCGAGCCAGAGTCACAGTGAACTCCCTGTCATCTCCTCAGACCAGGAGGCTGGGCCAATGTTTTAAGAGATTATGATGTGACTTCGGAGAAAAATGTTATCTTCGTAAATGCCCGGACCACGCCTGCTTACCTAGCTTGTGTCAGAAAGCTTGAATGAATTCAGGAAATGTGGTCACTCTAATGATAGACTGTCATCCTAGTGAAGGAACTTCTAAGAAAACACAGCCCAGTTGCCAGAAAGTGGGCTTTCTCAGCAAAAAAGAGAAAAAAAAATTATGTATTCTAATGCTCAATAGGAAATGAGTGAACTCTATATTACATGATCATGGGAGGGGAGCCTATATTATAGGCTCAGAGAAGGATAAGCAGGATAAAATTTAATATTGTAAATATAAAAGCATTATTGGCTTTTCAAGGGTGTATCTTGAGAAATTACATTATTAGATTTAATAAAAAAGGAAAGTACAATGCCAGATGATAACTATCACTATTTTTCTACTTTTAGGAAATTTCTATCTTCTACATTCAGGCATTTTTTTTCTTTAAGTGCAAATATTTGTAGTAAAAATTTTCCTTCCTTCCTTCCTTCTTTATTGTAATAGGAAGTGGTACTATTGTGTTTTCTGAATTTTTGTTCTGTATCTGTGTTCGAATTTGTTGCATTCCAGTCAAATCCTCCAGAGCAAAAGAATGAGGGTAACGATGAGCGTCAACACACAGGTAACAAAGAAAAAAAATGGCTTCCTACCTTCAATAGGTTTGGGTACAAAATGTGACGAGGGCTTGGTTTTCTTCACTCTGTTCCCCTTCATGATTTGACCTTCTTTATTGAGTCCCAGAAACCATGCTCGGCCTGATTCTTGCTGGCGGTACAGTGTGGAGGAATAGATCACATAGTAGTTTTCAAACACAGATTCCTTGAATTTGCATTCTGGAGTAAAAACATCCTGAAGGGAAAAAGAACACACAAAAAAGAGAAAGGACTTAAACATGAATAATCAGCAAATGCTTAAATCTAACAAGCTTGAGATACACGTCCTCTGTTAAGAACAAAGGAGAGGAACCTGAACCTGATTCCCATCAGCAGTTGGTTATAAGGATTCATCAGACAAAATCGAGAAACCTGATTTCCTTTCCAGCCACCTTTATTCCACAGAAGACAACTGCTCAAGCTTAAGTCACTTAGGAGGCTAAAATCATTCGCCACTGGGGCTAAGTCAGAACCCCGATTCTGGCATAATACTTTGCAAATTGAAGCGATGAACATTTCTCAGTGTAGCTGCCGTTGGCATGTAAAGAAGGCACGAGAATGCATCCGTGGGGATAAAAATCAAATACAGGCACAGTAAACTGAGGCTTACCAGATGTTTTTGAAGGGACTATCCCATATGTACAAAAAAGCATTGTATAGACACAATGTGTTTAACACTTGGGCTGATGTCAGTAACTTCCCCTTTAATTTTCTTAGAACTTAAAATAATTTTTTAACTTAAAAATCAAAATCACGGGTTTAGAAAAAACAGGAATACATAGTAGGAAAAAAAATTGCCATTACAATGAAAAATCCTCAATGAAACACGGAATAAAAGTTTTAGTCCCATTAGAAAACCTAAGATTCTCTAGTTCAACCCCATAACTCTTCTTCACTACATCCTGGAAGAATTTCAATGTGAGGCCCTCAGACTTCATGCAAGTAAACCTGGAATTAAGTTACTGATGAAAATAGGGGCAGAGTCGGTTGAAACCATAACCTTGCAGGCCATATTGCCAGGCTAATCTCCTGGCTTCCTTTGCAGAGAGCAAAGTGATGCATAGGTGAGGACGGTCAAGGCCTTCAGAGCTAAAGATTCTTTTGATTTTGTTGTTGTCTCTCTTTGTTTTCAAGAGACAAGATCTTAATCCAGGCATCCTCAAACTACAGCGTGCGGGCCACATGCGGCCTGCCCAGGACATTTATCCGGGCTGCCGGGTGTTTTTGCCGCCACTGCCTGTCCTGCTTAGCCACTGCCTGTCCTTTAAACTATAGTCTGGCCCTCCAACGATGTGAGAGACAGTGAACTGGCCCCCTGTTTAAAAAGTTTGACGACCCCTGTCTGTTGCCATGGCTGGCCTTGAGCTCCTGGGCTCAAACAACACTCCCATCTCTACCTCCTAATTAGATGAGACTACAGGTGCACGCTACCACGCCCACCCTGAAATGGTTCCAGCGTTACAGACCAAAATAGGAGCCTAAGACCATGGGAATGGAAAAGGATTATAGACATTAAAATAATAACAATAAAAAGTTAATTTTTGTATATTAATCCTGAAATATGATTTCTCAGAGTACTCCAAGCTTTAATAAACTAAGTGGCTTAAGAATCAGAAGCAAATGACCATGACAGCCTTCACATCCATTATGATGGTGATGATGAAACAATGACAATAAGAAGTATTGGTGAGGATGTGGCGAACCAGTGGAAAGATAAAATGACACAGCAACTGTGGAAAGTAGGTTGGCAATTCCTAAAAGGCTAAATACACAGTTGCCATATGACCCAACAATTCTACTTCCGGGTCAATACCTAAGAGAAATGAAAACATGTGTCCACACAGAAACTTGTAGACAAATGTTCACAGCAGCTAAAAAGCATAGTAAATAATCAGTATAAAGGGGGATTTTTTTTTTTTTCCATTTGAAAGACTAACTAGTAGTCACATTCCATTTGGAAGACATAACCATCATCTCATGAACTGTGCTTACCTCTATCAGCCTGAGCTCTCAGGCCAGTGTTAAGGTCCGCACCTTAACAAAGTTCATATAAATTTACTGTTGAAACAGAAACACCCTCACAGGCATATTACATATGTAGATACATGGAATGGTAGGTCTGTTTTTCACAATTGTTACTCCAAAATCTTTCTGTTGTTCAACTGAAGCTGACTTTGACTTCAATGGAATATGAATATTTTGATGGTGTTCTGAAATTTTATTTTGTCTTTTAGAAAATTTTACTTAACAAAAAGTTGAATATGAAAATGTACACAAACAGGCCGAACCAGCTTTACTTACACTCGCTCCAAGGCTTCTAACTGATGATACCATTTCCTCATATACCCCCATTCCAATAATGTTCTGTTGCCCAGTAGTTGCCATCTCCACACATTCATCTATCACAAGGTTCATAAAGGGATGAAAATTATACGTCCAGGAAACCCCCGCAATATTTCTTGGACATATCCACCACCATTTAATTTCAATGATAACTTCTTGTCCATAAATTTTTTCAACTTGGGAGGGTGAGCTTTGTTCATGGTAACTACTCCACCAGATTAAAGAGGATTAGAAAGGTAATTCACGACCCCAGCACGCTCCAACGGGAAGCCAGGCATCTTGTTCTGAAATTATTCTGGGGCATTCAATCCATTAGCAGCATTCGCACAACTGGTTTTTGTCCTATCACTGTATATGTCATAACGTAACCAATTCTTTTTCACATTCCAAACACCTATCCACCCTAGCCTTGCCCTCTACAGTTAAGAACTTCTGTCCATTTCAATCCAGATGACAAATGAATGCTGGAACACTACTCAAGCTCAAGATGATCACTCAGGATCCCTTCCGGCCTCTCCCCAACCTATCTGATTCCAACCCACTCTCTCTAGAGATCCTCTCCCTGACCCTCAATTTCCTAGTTTCATACTCTAGGATCCTTAATCCTTCTTCCATAACTGAGCTTCCTCCTGACTCTTCTGTCTGCACTGAGACCGTCAATATCCTACACAGTTTCTGGGACTGTAAGGTTTATCATTGTCCAGGTAAGTCCTTTCCTCCTTGGCCAGGCTCTAACTATGCAGCTGGGGCCCTTCCCACGCCCATTTGAGTAGAATTCTCCTCAAGATACAAACACCATGAAGGACAAAGAGACAGAGATTTTGAAATTGTCATGAATATATGGACAGAGTGCTATCTTGCTTTCAAGATCGACTATCACTGCCATATTGTTTGTATCACGTGCTAATTTCTTGCCATGCACCCAATTTCATCACACTCAGCCACTGGTCTTCTTGCCCTTGCTCAAACACAGCAAGCACATCCCATTTCAGATGCTTCACCCTTGACGTTCCTTGTTCTTGACAACCTCTTCAATAACATATTACATGGTTTGATCTTCTGTTTTATTCAGGTCACTGCTCACATCTAACTACCTCAGGGAGACCTCCTTTGACTGCCTTACATAATTCATACCTCCTCCAGTCACTATCTGACCATTAACCTAGTTTTCTTCTTCTTTGCAATTAGACCCTTCCAGACATTAGAATATAAATGAATTTTGTTTAAGCTCCATGAAGGTAGGCACCAGGATGGTTACATTTCCTTTGTATTCACAACAGTTTTTGTAGTTATAAAAGATTGATTCCAACAAAATAATTTGGTGAAAAGACATCACTAAGACCCAGATTTTTATTCCTATATATCTCTAACTTGTGCTCAAATTGGGAAGGTCATCTTAGGCTCTCAGTATCTCTAAAAGTAAAAAAAAGAAGTGCTTGTGCAATCAAGCAATCTCAAATGCCCCTTTAACCTTGTATATAATAAAATATTGTTATTTCAAAAATAGTACTTACTTACCAAAGAAAGGTGGAAATATATTATTTATCAAGCAAATAAAGAAAAATGTAATCAGAGAAGATACACTTTGCTATAATATCAGTAATTATGATTAATGATTTTCCCCATGGCATGTAAAATTTACTGATTTTTCAAACATATGTCAGATAGAAAGGGCCCTCTGGTTTTTATTTCTCTTCTACGGTTAAAACCCCAAAGTTTTAATTATTCCTTTTTTATATTTCATGTTTTTTTTTCCCCCCTGAGACAGAGTCTTATCCTTTCACTGAGTCTAGAGTGCCATGGTGTCAGCCCATCTCACAGCCACTTCAGACTTCTGATTTCAAGCTATCCTCCTGCCTTAGCCTCCCCAGTAGCTGGGACTACAGGCACCTACCACACTGTTTCACTCATTTTTCTGTTCTTAGTAGACATGGGGTCAGAACCATCTTCCTGCTTGCTGTCCATCCTTATTTACTGGGTTGTATTTAAGAAAGATAAGAATCAAAAACTATTGATGATTCTTCCAACATAATTTACATCCAACAACTTCAGAGACAGAAAGTTCCTTCAGTTATAATCTTTGAAAATAGATTCAAGCTGTGAAGCTTCTGGTCTGCTAACTTCATTAATGACCTTTAGATGCAAAGAATTTGAAAATTCTTGGTGTATCAGCAGCTTCTCTTTTAACTGTGTTGTCAGACATAATGACATTAAATCTAGCCAGAGAACGATTGTTTTCTATCCTGACAAGAGGAAAGAAAATGCCAAATTACATTATCACAAATGAATTTTTTTTAAAACTGGAATTGCTTTGACTGGAACAAGTCTGATTTTATAATTTAAAAAAAATTGCTGATACGGAAACCTTTGTCTATCTACTTTTGAGATAGTTTTTACCGGAAAACTACTGAGCTAATTTTTCTAAAAATAAAGGTTTTCTGTTAACACATTCTTTGCAATATCTGACATGGCAACAAGGTAAATTTACATTATCATAAAATAACACAACCCGTGATATATTGGGAATGTGATATAGGTAGATAAGGGAGGTAGATAGGCAAAAATATTCAAACCCCTGCTTTTTCACCTTAGATAAGTGACTTCTCTGACACTCAGTTTCACTATCTGTAAGTTAAGTTAATTATACCCTCATGCAAGGTTGTGATTACTAAGCAGGACAATGAAGGGACATCAGGTATGTCGTCTCTGGCATACTCACTCTCCTTACTTTTGGTTACAATTTCCAGGTGACAACTGTTATCTCAAGTCAGAATGTGTTAGCCTGTGCAGTAGACTAAGAAAAGTCCCTCTACTTGTGGAGTCCAAATAATGCATCTTGGGTATCTCTTCCCT